GTAAAATAATACACTAACCAGTAAGTACTAAACTATTCTCATTTAAGAATATCTAACCCTAATCCAATCCATACATACAACAACCATAGATAATATTTTAATCATCTAACACATAACAACGTAATTATGCTTTGGCAAATCAACCATGCCATTGTAAATATTTTTATTTATATATTGGCAATTCAACCATGCCTCCATAAGTATATTTATTTATACATTGGCAATTCAACCATGCCTCCACAGGTATATTTATTCATACATTTAATTAGCAATTCATCCATGCTTTCCATATATGTATTCTATTCATACAAATATTTAGGTAATATATTTAATCATTTGATAATTCATCCATGCCCACACTTTAACCATGAATTAACTTTAAAATTAACAATACGCTAAATCATACATAGCCATCACATGCATATTATACGCATATCATTAATTTAACAACCAGCCTATTAAGATATGCCAAATAAGAATGATAATATTAATCATCTTAAATGATTTATATATATATATACCTACACATATGTTATTTAATGTATATATGTGTTTAACACCTTCTTTAATAATCCTTGATTATTTAAAATCAATATACATACATACATACACATATATATATATATATATACACTTCCTTCCATAACAAATTATTAATTTATTATATGTACACAAATTAGTGCAACTAAATATGTCAGAAATAGTTTCCTTTAAATACTCCATATTGGTTTAAATAGTTTTCCGACACTTTCTCACTAAAACATAAATATCTCCTAGTAGGATGGGAATCTGATAATGAAATTGGTACCATTGGAAAGAAGACGAAAAATCCTTGAATTTGAGCTCAAGAATGACCCAATTTCGATTTAAAATGACTAAGTTATGACCGTTTTAATTTCTAGTGTCGAATTAGGCCAACATAGTTTCCCACGCGCGCCCACGTGCTTACTATGCACTTGCACGCGCTGGATTCAAGCCTCCTTGTGTGCTGGTATTGGCTAAGCTCTTTCAGCTACCGTGAGCTCACCACACTGAATCCATCACTTCCTTTATGCCGCATCCAATGGTCATAAATGAGTGCGCAAATGAACACGCTCACACTAGATTATTTTCTATTAACTATAATAGATCTAAGGTCCAGATCAGCGAGTGCACCATCTTCTCATGGTCTGCAATACACCAAATAATCCCATAGTTGACCAGACTACTTCTATGGTCCAGATACACATGCGCACCAAAGTTTTATGCGCCGCGATGCACCATATCAATTCACATAAGTTTAATTAATCAAATGGCCCTAATTGGCGTATACACCCTATTATCCTACACCGCGCCGCACTGGATCAATTCTTTATTGTGCCGCCGCTCCACATGCGTCAGTTACCTAGTATATATATATATATATATATATATATATATATATATAAAATTATTTTCCTAACAAATAATAGGAAAATAAATCCTAATAAATTCCTAAAAATATCAGAAAAATTCCAGAAAATTACAGAACAATTCTAGAAAATAAAGAAATCATAATTAACTCTCTTAGGTCACAAATCCACCTATAGATTGATTTTAAAATATACATAACACCTATATATATCAATTAAAATCCAATAATCTAAAAATCAAATATAATAGTTTATACTTTTTAATTATTCCGATCTAACCATAATTTTTAAACAAATAAATTTAATTAAAGCCTTGATACTCAAGGTGAAATCCTTATGAGTTCTAAGAGGAAAGTTAGAGAAAACTCGCCTGAAGGTTTCGAAACGAAACCGACGCTTTAAGCTTTAATTATCTCTTCCAATTCCGACGTCCTCCTTTTCAGATCCGACCTCCTCCTTGTCAGCCCTTCTTCTTCCTCTCTCTCTGTCTGTTTTATTTTTCTAACGTGTAAAACCTTTAACCCTAAAGCCTTATGTGTATTTTTATACACCTTAAATTCCAAATCCTATTCCAACTAGTATTATGAATTAAAATAATAATCTTTAAATAATTTATATCTATAAACATATATATATATAAATATATATTCCTTCCATAATTAACTCATTAGTTAATTAAATCATATATACTTATAAATATCAATAAATATATATCTATATATATATCTTTCCATAACAATTATTAATTAATTATATTTATATATAATATATATATATATAAATATAATTGATACAAAAGTGATCATTTAATTAATTAAATAACCACGGACCTTCATTAATTAACCCAATAAGGTTTCATACAAGCCCAAGACCACATCTTTTGGTCCAACTTTCCTTAAGCCCAATCCAATTAATTTAAATAAATAAGATAATTAATTAAATACAGAAATTAAAATAACTAATTACATGAAGCACATAAACAAACAAGAATTTACAACTAAGTCATATAATACCAATAAAATCAACACACCAATAATTCAATCAATAATCAACCACACAAACAATCAATCATCATACATAATCACGAAATATAACTTAATTAAAATAAGATAATTAATCTAGCACTCAATAAAATAAAATAAATCATTGAAAAATAAAATAAAATAATTAATCCTAATTAATAAATCTTTTAAAATTATCGGGGTATTACAGGTAGAGTCGATAAAATTTTGAGTTTATTTCCATGTTTATATAGTTGTTGTGAACAAGATAATCAACTCAATCAAGCAAGCCCGCATTTTCTACTATTCTACCCAAACCATATGCTCTCTTATACCTTGGTGATCTTGTCTTTTCTCACCCCTTCAACTAACATTCTTTTTCAAGTAACATTCTTTTTCACCTTAGTGACCTTACTCTTTTTCTTTTGTTACTAAAAAATCAAATCATCTTTCGTATTAGAAATTTAGAGTGCATGTGTATATAATTGTATATATACTTGATGGATGATTATGTTTTTCCCTTTAGTCAACTGTATACTTAAGTTATCACCAGGTCAAGAGACTCAAGACCCCCTGTCCTCGTACTGCTATATCAATTGGATTTCACATGGCAGAATATTATTTGTAGTGCTGCTTGCTATAAATATCTTTTGGAGGACAACAGACGTTAGAATTTTTTTTTTTTTTGATAAGTAAGAATTTTATAAAAAGTGCTCAAAAGGGGAGTGAATCCCAAAGAAACACAAGGCCACAAAACGCCTCAAGCCTTCAAAGAGGCCAAAAAAATAACAATCTCCTCTACAGAACGAAAATCTCTCCCAGAGACCCAACAAAAAAGAGTGGAAATAATGGAGAACTTAAGCATAGAATTAGGCTTCTCCTTTCTATCGAAATATCTCCGATTCCTCTCAAGCCAAATGCACCACCAAATACAGAGAGGCGTAGCCCTTCAAGCATCTTGAATGAAATCCCCAACTGAGAAACCTCTTCAAGCCTCAATCAATCCTTTAGGGGAATAGGGCATAACCCAAGGGACCCCAAACATCCCAATCATCAAATCCCAACCGTCTCTAGCCATTCTATAATGCAATAAAAGATGATCAATTGACTCCTCATCGCACATGCACAAGTAACAATGATTGACAACCACCTGAGTCCTCTTCAAATGGGTTAAAATCCTACCCAAGACAGAAGTCCAAGCAAAGAAAACCACCTTAAAGGGAGCCTTGGAACGCCAAATAGACTTCTAAGGGAAAGGTTCACCATCACCAACTGTAAGACACCTGAAAAAAGACCTCACCTTAAACCGACCCTGAGAGTTATGATTCCAGAGCCAACAATCAGAATCCCCATGAGAAATCACCTGACGATACAATAACTCCAAAAAACGAGTGACCTCCTCAATCTCCCAATCCCCTAATTGCCTCCTAAACTGAACATCCCAAGTTATTCTTCCATTATTAAGATGATAATAGTCAACCACCAAGGCCTGTCTATTAGAAGCAATCCTGCAAAGCCGTGGAAAAGAAAGAGCAAGGGGAAGCTCCCCACATCAAAGGTCCTCCCAAAATCTGATCCTCCTACCATCCGTGATCCGAAAACGAATATGTTTGCGAAAAGCGTCTCACCCTTTTCGAATGCAAGTCCAAACCCTTACCCCCCTAGGACCACGCACCTCAAGAGAACTCCAACCACCACTGCTCTCCCCAAATTTGCTAGCAATAACTCTCCTCTAAAACCACTGCCTCTCGACCCCAAATCTCCAAAGCCATTTTCCAAGAAGAGTCTTATTAAAAGACAACAGACGTTAGAAATTATTGTGAATCATAGAACACATCATTCTTCCTTGATTTTGGGGACTTCATAGTTTGATGGCCTTCATTTTAGTCTGTTGATGTTTTGAGTTTGTAGCCAATAGGTGAACTTTAGTTGGAAGCTTAAGAATGTATTACGATTTGTTGATTAATGCAAAATGCAGTAGAAGGAAGAAAATGTGGTACCTTACAACTAATTGGGTTTGGCATGATGAGTTTTTTAATGTCAGGGTTTCTTTTATTTTCCTATTCTGTTCAACCACATCAAGCATTAGAAATTCTCACACTCACCATGAGTGAAATTTTCTGGTCCATTAATGTTAAAGCTCCCCAGAACCAAATCACATGGATGGACTTGGAACCCTTTTTTCTTGGTTCAGGTAAGTACTCCCACACACATTGCCCGTGCTAGGACTCCAACCCCTCCCCTCCTCTTTGAGAGTAGGGAGTTTTACCATTGGGCTAATAGCCCATTGGTGGATGGACTCCGAACAATTAGATGGTGATGATAATTAAAGGTCCAATTTAGTTTGTTGTAGACTTCTTCATGGTTTCATTTTTTAACTTGTTTTTTTCTATAATCAGGCCATTGTCATTATATATCTTACATTAGTAATTATTATTTTTTCCTCCTTGATTGAATAATATGTCCACCTTTTTATTTTGAAATATTGTCTCCGCATCCATTTGCTTTGGCTTATTTTCTCCTGATTAAAGGAGGATTCCCTTCATTGAATATATTTTTAACGATTGATAAATGTTTAACGGGATGCCTTTGGTACATGAAATTCCAGATGTCAAAATACTTCAATACGAAGTCGAATATATCAGGACATATTCCACTCGGTAGCTTTAATGCCATGTTCAATTTCACTGGCTCCTGGCAACTTGATGCAGCAGCTACAAAAACGCTTGCGATGATTGGACATGTCATCCCCTTATTTACTGTTGAATTAGCAAAACTAGATTTAGTCTTGCAAGAAGAAATCAAGCATGCTATTCCATACTCTTGGGATCCTGCATCCTTAGCAAGGTAAACAATTATTCAGACCATCTCTGCATTATTGTACTTTACTAGATTGTCATTCTGGCTATATAATGCACACAGAGACGTATATGTGTTTGTGTGTGTGTAAGATATTTGTAATGTATTATGTATGGATTTCTATAAGTTAAGTAATTATCTACTTTACACTGTAACTCTGTCTCTATTTGAAGGACCCGTGTATACTGTTTTCTTTTTCCTATTTGAGACTGACTCACCCACTATGCCCCTACGGGGACTTGAACCCTCGACCTTGTACTTTGGAAGGTGAGAAAGTACCACTAGGCTACAGCCCTTGGTGTGTACTACATTTTAAAAAAGAAATGTGGCTGCATTTAATCCTTGTCTAACCAAATAGTGCGTTTTGAAGGCCGAGTTGCTGCCTTTTTTCCTTCTTGTGATCTTTGCGGTGCTTAATTGAGTTGTGGATCTTAATCTCTATAGACTTGTGCTCCTCTCCATGTATGCACTTTGAAACTCTTGCGACCGTCTGTCAAAAGCCAACCTTGTTATGCACTAGGAGAATAGGCATTGCCTGTATCTTCTGCAATTGTGGGCAATTCCTGGAATTACCAATTGCAGGGCTGCAGTTTGGACAAAATCACTAACCACTTTTGAAAAGGAGAGAGCTTGACAGTTCCAGAGCACAGAGTCTGGCATGATGCTCAGATTAGCATTTTAAACACTTACGACTGATAATCCTTTATGTATATATATATATATATATATATATAATATAAGTATTACGACTGGTAATCCTAGAGGATGCGTCTCTGATAGGATGTCCATCATTTAAAGAGCACAGCAGCATCTGGTTTCTGACTGGAAATATCCTGTTTTCAGCTTTATTGAAAATTATGGCACCCATATTGTTACCTCCGCAACAATTGGTGGAAGAGATGTAATTTATATCAGGCAGCATCAGTCATCTCCTTTGTCAGCGTCAGACATTGAGAACTATGCCAAAGACATAGGAGATCAAAGATTCTCAGACTTGAAAAGCCAGACGAGTGCTGGCCTCTTCAAATACAAGGATAAGGTTTGTGCAGCATCATTTCCAAGTTTAGTTCAAAACATGAAGTCTTGTTTACAATGTATCCCCATGTCTAGAAAATATTGGACCAATTAGTCTCTTCTTTATTCAATCCTGGAAATCTCATGGAATCATACCTCCTTGTTTTATCAATTTGGGGGGAAGCATATTCCTTTGTGATGCACAATCCATGTCCTTACAACAAATTTGTGTGATAACTGTTGAACGATCATTAAAAAATTGGCTCTTGCTGCAGGATGTTACAGTTATTTTCAGAAGAAGAGGGGGTGATGATCTTGAGCAAAGTCATGCCAGGTGGGCAGAGACTGTACAAACGGCGCCAGATGTGATAAATATGACATTTACTCCTATTGTTTCTTTGCTTCAAGGGGTTCCTGGAATAAAGCATTTGGCTCGTGCTATTGACTTATACTTGGAATGTAAGATCTTGGGTTATTCTTTAGTTTGGAACATGGTATCAGTTCTAATGTGGTCAAGGATTGCCAGAAAATGTAGGCTAGCAGTGATATGAATTAATTTTTAGTGCTATTGTAGAGTTGAAGAAGGGTTTGAAACTATCTCGACGAGTTTCCAAGTCTGCCCCTGCTTCAAAGATATAATTATTTTTAAAAGGAGAAGTGTTGGGTATAAAATTATTAGAAAAGCTTGTCAGGCCTTATTTTTCTTAACTTTTCTTTTGTATATTGAGCTTCTACATTAATATCAATTAACTCTAATATATGCCACTTTGAGACTACCACCATAATTATATCCATGACTAGAATCACTGCTACCTTAAAAGTTTGAGGGAAGAAGATATACTGTTTATGAAGTTTAATTGAACCCCTATTTATCTATTAGAAAGTTACATTCAAGGGCATTGCAAACCATACTCTACATTTTTTACTGATTTAGAAGTTATTTTTGGCCTAGAGACGGTATTCTTTGCTTTGATCATCTTCTTGATACTTTGTTTTGTAATTGTGAAGAGTAAATGAGAAGCTCTAAACTGTGAGATGAATTTAAGCTTTAAACGGCAATCATGTTGTTGACTTGTTAGGGAACATGTGTTGTTCATGTTGTTTTAAATACATAGTATATGTCTCTCTAATGATCCTCTCTTTGGTTCTTAATAAAATCTTTTGTTGTTTTGATCAGACAAGCCACCTATTGAGGATTTACAATATTTCTTAGAGTTTCAAATTGCTCGAGTTTGGGCTCCAGAACAGAATAACCTTCAAAGAAAGGAGCCCGTATGTCCATCCCTCCAGTTCAGTTTGATGGGTCCTAAGCTTTATATAAGTCCAGACCAGGTATTAGGTGTATTTATTTATTTTTCTTAATTTTTCTAGGCTAAGCTCTGACCAGTTTGGAAATACTTGATGTTTGTTCTTTCACTCACTCGAGTGCTGCCATGATGTTGCAGGTAATTGTTGGTCGTAAGCCAGTCACTGGACTTAGACTCGGCCTTGAAGGAAGCAAGCACAACCGACTTGCTATCCATTTGCAGCACCTGGCGTCTCTTCCAAAAATCCTTCAGCCCCACTGGGACTCGCACATGGCCATAGGTGCACCCAAGTGGCAAGGTCCTGAGGAGCAGGACAGCCGATGGTTTGAACCCATCAAGTGGAAGAACTTCTCCCACGTGAGCACTGCACCGATAGAGCACACTGAGACATGCATTGGAGATCTCTCTGGAGTTCACATTGTCACGGGGGCTCAGCTTGGTGTTTGGGACTTCGGTGCTAAAAGTGTGTTGCATCTCAAGCTTCTCTTCTCCAAAGTACCCGGATGCACAATAAGGCGCTCTGTATGGGACCACAGCCCGTCCAACATGTCTGCACAAAGGCATGATGGTGCTTCTGCATCGCTTTTAAACGACAGAACCGAGGACAAAAAGGGGGATGGTTCAGGCCATACCGGGAAACTGGCGAAAATCGTGGACAAGACCGAAATGTCGAAGGGGCCTCAAGATATTCCGGGCCACTGGTTGGTTACGGGGGCTAAGCTTGGGGTAGACAAGGGAAAGATTATGCTACGCATAAAATACTCCTTATTGAACTATTGATAGATCAACTCTGTTGTTGTTGTTTTACCCCTCTACTAGAAAGCATAGTTAAGCATTCTTTGCACAGGCCACATTTTCTTTGTTGTTGTGTCTCTTCTGTACATTGTGTTCATTATTTTCTCTATTGTTTTTTGTTTCTTTATATATTTTTTTTGTTCTATTTAGTTGATAACAGATTATAGTTCATTGCAGCTCTTCTCTTCTGGATTTTGATTAAAATTTTGTTTTTGAAGGACAAGCATCTGTTAAATAATGAAGTATTTGACTTGTTCAAATTTAAATGTAGTGATTTTTTGATATTTTCATCTTCTTTATGTAAAAGATGGTTAATATTTGCTGAATGGTGAATTTGTAGCCTTAGTTGGAGTATGTTTCAAGATCTTGAAGCAGTGGAAGGAATAAGAAAGACAAAAAATAAAACAAAGTTACCGCCAGCCCTAGAATCCACTGAGGATTCTTATTCTTGATGACAATATGAATTTATTTATTTACTTTTAGAATGAACATCGACGTAACATAATATATTTTTGTTGTGATACGAAAATCACCAGTTCAAAATGACAAATAGCCTTTCTACTAGGTAAGATGGTATGTATTTGATCCTTCATTGATTCTGTTGTAACGAAGGTCTATAGACTTTTTAAGTTAGGAAACTTAAAATATAAAATGCTATGATAGGTACAGAGAAAACTTGAAATATAAAATGCTATGATATTGATCCTTTTGTAATGGAAGGTGGTATAAAAATTACCGATTCAAAATGGAAAATAGCATTTTTATTAGGTAAAGTTGTATGTATTTGTAATTTTTATAATTTGATTCTTTTGTAATGGAAGTCTCGTGCATTGAGCTAGTCTTTTTTATTTTATTTTAATTTTTTAAATTGTTAAGAAACTTGAAATATAAAATGATATGATAGTATTGTGCACACCAAAGTCTCTTGCAATGTATTAGTGTTTTGTTTTTTTAACAAGACAAACAATCTATTATTATTCAATTTCAACTAACTGCAAGTTTAGAAAGCAACTTAAAAAGACAATGAAACACCTACTTACAAAAGTTAGCAATACAAGAAAATTGGGGAAAAAAAAAAAAAAAATCTACTTACAAAAGTTACTTTTTACAATATAATTAATAAATAATATGGTAAGAAATAATGGATTGGTGCAATTTTTTAATTTATGTGCAACGTATAAAAAATAAGATAAAATAAAATAAAATATAAAATAAATCACGCACTATTACCCATTTACCCTACTGGCTCTTCTTTTCTTATTTAGCAATACAAGTGTCACTACATATTCACCATCTGGCAACAGGACACAGCAATATCAGCCACCTCAACTCTCATGCATGTGTACGTGGGACCTTGTGATAGTCCACCATCAGAACATCTCATATATATATATACACAAAGCTCCTATATTCTCAACCTCCCCTTATCACAGAGCTTCAACAAGAAGATCAATATAGTTGTAGCTTTACAAAAAAAAGGAGACGAAGTGTTTTTGATGGCTTCAAAGAGAGGAAATGAAGCGGACGGCGGCGAGAAGATACCGCCGGGAAAGCCGATGTCGATGGAACAGCACATGCTGGACAAAGGGGCTCAGATGTTGCAGTCCCTGAAGCCTGTGAAGCAGATTAGCCAGCATGTGTGCACCTTTGCTAAGTATAGCCATGAAATGACTCGCCAGATCCAGACTCACCACTATGTCACTCGCCTCAACCAGGACTTCCTTCAGTGCGCCGTCTATGATTCCGACGACTCAACCAGCAGACTCATTGGTAAATCATCACTCTCACTCTATATATATGTGTATATAAATATATATTTATATATTATGGTGGTGTTAATTGGTAATTTTGTATAGGGGTGGAGTATATTGTGTCGGAAGAAATATTTGAGACTTTGCCACCTGAGGAGCAGAAGCTTTGGCACTCTCATGCTTATGAGGTTAATTCAATTGGCTCTCCTTTGCATGATGATTAATGTCTAATTATTATTTATTTATTTATTTTTCAAAGTTCAAGCAAATACATGTACGTATACCCTCACTATATTTTATGTGAGGCGCGCTCCAACAGTACTAGCTCTAGCTCAATCTTGTACCATCTGAACTAATGCTCATTAAATAATTGGTGTAAATTTTGATGAATAACTTGACTGTTTTTTGAAAAATTAAACAATTAATTAATATATACAATTTGATGAAAATATATATTGGATGGTCCAGATCAAATCAGGGCTCTGGGTGACTCCCCGAGTCCCAGAGATGGTTGTGAGGCCCGAGCTCGAAAATATTGCTAAAACTTATGGCAAATTCTGGTGCACTTGGCAAACTGACAGAGGTAAATCTCATAACTAAAGCTGTTGCTAGAGAGAGTAACTTTTAATATTTAAATTCTTCAACACGCCTCCTCACTCGTCTCCTTTTTCTCCCTTTTCATGTTTCAATTTTAATTTATAAAGATCGATGATGAGCGATGATATATTTAATAGCTAAGTTTAAGTTAGTTGTCTTCTTTTTCTCCCTTTTCATGTTTCAATTTTAATTTATAAAGATCGATGATGAGCTGATGATATATTTAATAGCTAAGTTTAAGTTAGTTGTGAGAGGAGGTGTAACTTTAATATTTAAATTTTGTAAATTTTTTGAGAATTTTGTGAATGTCTCTCACCTGTTTGAGTCGGTATGAGAATTGCCCTTTATAGTCGGCTAAAATTATATTTATTTTCTAAATTTTATCCAAATTAATATCTTGTGCTGGATATATCAAATTACTTGAGAGAATTATTTGCATATAATATCTATCATATAAGGGTAGTTACATCATGAAAAAATAGAATATCTTCCTAGGTATAAAAATGCTCAAATCTCAATCTCATCGTCCTTTTACGGTTATACCGCTAATTTCTCTCACACTTTGTTTTTATTTATTTTTTTTGTTTTTAAATTTTATTTATTTTATTTTTTTTTTTTGTAATTTTGAAATTACAATGGACACATGAACGTATACAATGAAGGCATAGACGCTTGCAAATTTAGCATTGACGGTTGTGGTTAATACTGATGCGGATATGTATGTGTGTGTATATATATATATAGGTGACAGGCTTCCTGTGGGTGAACCAGCACTGATGATGTCCCCACAAGCTGTGAACTTGGGCATGGTGACACCAGAGATAGTTCAGAGGAGGGATAACAAGTACAACATATCAACTAATGCGCTCAAGAATTCAAGAATGGAGATCGCCGAGCCAGAGTGGATAAATCCCCTGGCTGACTACTGGAAACAGCACCAGAAGGGCTTTGCTATCTGTGTTGAGACGACAGAGATGAAGCTCCGACCAGGGGTAACCTTCCCCTGAAGATTTGGTTAGGTATATGGCAACTATGGTCTTTTGAGCTCTGCATTTATACATATACTTCAAGTTCATTTTGGGTGTATAATTAGTAGAAGTGTTCAGTAAGTAGTTTATGTTGTGCATGTGTGTGCTGAAACTGTGCTGTTAATTTTCTGCTACTCTGTCTTTTGTGTTAATTTTGTTCAGTAAGTAGTTTATGTGTTGTGCATGTGTGTTCTGAAACTGTGCATGTAATATATAAATTATAATATCTTGAGTAATGTATATTGTATACACATGCATATTTGAATCTCACATATGCATGACCATAACTTTTGTTGCTGATAAAGGGATACATTTGACACAATTTCATTTCCACTGTTTCAATGTCGAGTTTAAAGAAAATTTGTCAGTAATTTCAGCATGATTTTCTCTTAATTGGATGACAGGTTGCTTAATTTGACAATTGATATTATTATTGTTTTTTTTTTTTTTCATCCGAAGTATTTGCAGTTTTTGCCTAACTTTTTGGAATCAGTATTGAAATTGGACTAAGTTGAGTTTGTAGGGATTGAATGAGAGAGAGATTAGCTAGAATTTCAACTGATTGTTATTCAAATAGAATAATACAATTGAAGTTTACAAAGTCCTTTTAGTTGTTGATTCAATTATTTGGGAAAATTTGTAGCAAGATAAGTGGGATTAATACCAATATAATAATAATAATAATAATAATAATAATAATAATAGGCAAGCTTGAATGTAAGTTTGAGAGCTAAATATAGCCCAGGAGTTTGGCGGGTTAAGGCCCAAGAATAGAGGTTAAGTTTGGTGGGTTGGGCTTATCAATTATTTACCAAAAAGAAAAATGGTAGGGAGAAAAGAAATGAGAGGAAAGAATAGGGAGAAAAGAAAGGTGAGGAAAGAATAGTAAATTATGTTTGGAGAAAGAAATGAAAAGAAAAAAATATTTTTATGAATTTATCACAATATTTTTTTTTGGTATAGATTTTATTTTTATAAAAACAAATTTGATATTAACAATGTTCGTATTTTTTCAAATCTTTTTAATTCTTTTTCGTTTTAAAATTTTATACCAAACAAAAAAATTATATCACTCCATTTTATTTTCCTTTCATTTCTTTCCTATGGCTGGATTGGATTTATTACTTTTGTGTTGTTAATTGCGTCATTAAAAATAATAATTTTATTACTTTCTTTGTAGTTCATCGTTTTTAGGATTAAAACTAATTGCATTACAAATATTTACTTAATCTCATACTACTATATATATATATATATACACACACACTTTTACCATCCCAACTATAAAAGACTGTTATTTGAAAATATACATTTTTATAACTGATTTTTTCAGAAAACAGTTTTTAAAAAACTGAATCAAGTATAATTTTTTATACAATTTTTCAATTTTTAGTTTTCTGAGAACAAAAATTATTTCTATAATTATAAACCAAGCAAACTTAACTTTTTATGCTCAATTTTAATATATTTTTTTTATTATATTGATAAGAGTGAATTTTTAAATTTATTCTTATAAAAGAAAGAATACTCCGAAATTAGTGCATATATTTAATAAAATAAATATTAAAATGATAGTTTAGGAATATTATAAAAAGTAGTATATTCATTTTAAGAATGACACATGTATTTTGGGAGGTTCCAAATAAATAAATAAATAGAAAATTATTTTAAAACAAAAAGAATATATTATTTTCCTTAACCATGTAAATGTGTTTTAAAATTTGTAAACACGAAATGCGTAAAAAGCAGGCAATATCTATAAAGACATGTTGTGAAAAGTGGTTCAAGCTCACAAGGATCCAGATTATCTTCAAAAGAGAGTTAGATAATACTTGTATCCACCAATCGAGAAGGTTGAAAATCCATTATGGACCACATTAATTAGGCGTGTGAAAATTATTTACTAAAAGAAAAACATCACTACACTATACTTGATTCATACGACTCACATTAAAATGGTAACCAATATGTATGATCAAATTATTCTAAAAGTGAGTTTCATGTTTTTCTTGGTATAAATGATGAAAAATGGATGATCGATGATAAGAAAGAAAACGTCAATAGAGAAGAAGAAAAAAAATGTGTTCTATGACCTTTTTTTTTTTTTGGTGGGTTGAATGTGATAAAAAATTAGCGTATTGAAAAATAAGCTAAATGTGATAAAAAAAAAAAAAAAAAAAAAAAAGCAATCTTCTGGTTGCTTTTCCCCTGTAGTTAGTTAGTTGGCAACTTGGGCTATATGCATTCCAAGTTGGGAGAGACACTAAAACAACTGGGATATATATATATATATATATATATGGATAATACTTAGCTACTCACCCATCGTGTGTTCCAATGATAATATATTATATTAGCTTTAATAACCAAATAAGCCACGTTCTCTATATTATCTCAGATCAACCATTGAATAATTTTTTTATTAAAGCTGATGTAGTATGTTGTTATTGGAACACATGAGGGGTGAACAGGGTGAAGCTACTCACCGGTGAGTAGCTAAGCATTATCCTATATATATATATGCATTTAAATATAAGTCGAACACTACATGAATGAATTTGATTGGAAAATAGACTACAAAAGATAGTATTTTTAAATGTACGAATTTGACAAGAAAGGACAGAGTTGTAATCTAATCTTTTGTAAAACCCTTTTACAACCTTTTTGCCTTGACAGAGAGCGTGCGAGAGAGAGAGAGAGAGAGAGAGAGAGAGTGAGAGTGTTCTAACATATTAGAGTTCGTTGGTGTTTGCACCATAAAAATAAATTTTTTAATTTAGACATGGTGTTGTTTGATTGGAAGAGAAGATATGTGCCGTGTCATTAAATAGGACTCCTATATAAAATTGGAGTTTAAAGTCAATAAATTGCCTACATCAATTTTATTCCACAAATACGATTTATTTGGATAAATTTAAGACAAAATGCAAAAGGTGGATAAGATTAACACAAGAGTAGTTTTTATAATTCAAATGATGATGGAAAAGATTAAGACAAGGGTAGTTTTTATAATTCAAATGATATTTGAATTTAAAAAGAAAACTATTGCTACAAGGTTTCTCTATAAATAGAGATAGGAGGAGTCTGTGCAAAAGGTCCTCAACCAACACAACGCATTTTCTTACAATGTAGTATTTTCTTTATCGATGTTTATCATTCTCTGCAATTTCATACAGTTCTTTAATTGTATTTTACTTCTGTTCATAAGTGTAGCCTCTAGTGTTAAAATTTCACTTCTTGTACTCTGTAAAAGAATTTTACTTATGAAATAAAAGTCGACGCTAGGCATTAGTCCCCTCTACTTTTATTTTCTAAGTCTCTTAGAATAGATGAATGCTTGTGTAATTTGTTTTACTCTCTTCATCCATTCTACTTATAGTGTTGAAAGTCCTCTTTATTGAGGCGTTGAAGAACCTGAAGGAAGGGGTTATCATTGCCTTCCAACAATCACCTAATTCACTAAGGGCCGATTTAATATTCGGTCAGCACCAATGATAGTTTGGTTATCCAACCCCTTGGGTCGAAAGACTCTAGCACGCCCCTAAAAAAAAAGAGCCAAACAATTTGGCACGCCTGGTGGGACACCGAAAGTGTCTAAATCTATGCCATTTACTCAGTCTCAGTTGCAAAATTTGCCTGAGAAACAGCCTCAACATTAGGAATAAGAGGCTGAAATCGAAGTAAATCAACAGCCAAGTAATCAGATGTTGGCTGAGAATATTAATAATTTAGTGCAACGGATGGAAATTTCCAGCCGTACCTTTCATGGAGCACTAGAGCCAATCCATAACACATTGGCTAATTTGAATGACTCTTTGACCGTCCTATCAACAAAGTTTGATCAACATCTTATGGCATGGTCAAATACTACAGATACTTTGTTGCATGCACAACAACAAGTTCCAGCGACTGTTGGGGTTTAACATAATTACTGTCAACAACAGCGGCAAGGGTTTCAACCCCTTTTGCAGCCGTTGCATGGACAATATCAACAGCAGGCCAATCAATCGTAGGCTAATCAGCCACAACATCAGATACCAACGGAATATCAACTAATCGGAGGGGCTAATCAGAATGTGAATTGACCACCATTTAATCTGATTTATTAACACCAACAGCAAGTATGTCAGCCCCAAGAGTGGCGAGATAATTTTAATGCTAATTTTAATTTTCCAGCGCCTCAGCCTCAGGCATCATATGTGCCTCAGCCTCAGGCGCCGAATGTGCCTCAGCCTCAAGTGTCGTATGTGCCTCATCCTCAGGCACCTTATATGCATTAGCCTCAAGCACAACAGCCAAACCATCAACCCTTTAAGGTTGACAGAGATCAATTGGCTAATTTAATTCAAGAAAGTTATGGACCATCCCCAAGAAGAGTTGGTCGCCTTATATGTAGGAAGCCATATCCGGGTTATATAGACCAATATGCGTTTCCAAGAGGCTATAAAGTTCCCGATTTCGTTATCTTTTCAGGATAAGACTCCACTTCGACCATAGAACATATTGGTCGATTTTCCATTCAATGTGGTGAGGCTGGAGTAAATGAATTTTTAATATTAAGGCTATTTGTTAATTCCCTTTAAGGGACCGCATTTTCTTGGTATATAAGTTTACCGGTAAATTCGGTCTATACTTGGCAACAATTGGAAGAAATGTTTCACACCCAATGTTTCACACCCAATTTTATAAGACCGAACCAAATGTATCGATGGCTGACTTATCTAGGCTATCCCAAATGCCTGGAGAGACAGCTGAAGCCTTTATTGGTAGGTTAAAATGTGCGAGAAATAAATGTCAAATAGCCCTTCCAGAAACAGAATATGTGAGTCTAGCCTTGAATGGTTTAGAATTTGAATTACGAAGGAAATTTGAGGGAATGCAATTTCGAGATTTGTTCCAACTAGCCTCTAGTGCTACAAGATATGAAAAGGTTCCGAAAGAAGAACAAGATAAAAGGAATGCCTTTAGGGGTATCTATT